GCGTGCACTCGTATAATGTATAACGAGTGGTTCCCTGCATTATTTTAGGAAAACGTTTTGTGATTACAGTATTGAGCTGGTGCAATGGAGCAGCTCTAATGCGCCATTAAAATGAACAGTAAAAGTAACAAAAGCTTATACAATACATTTTAACAGGTATAATTAAGTGTGGAAATAACTGAAGGTAATATCTGTTTGCTAAATGAAGCCAACTAACATGATTCATATTATTATTATTATTACTATTATTTTGTTTCTGTACCCAATATTTAAAAAACTAATTACAAATACTGTGAAAATACAGGTATTTGTATCTGCGAGTACCAAAAATGAAAGTATCGGTATCTGACTCGTTCTGAAAAAAGTGGTATCGGTGCATCCCTATTTTTTAGTCTCGAGCAAGACTGTACGACATTCACATTACATGATTTGACTGGTTTTTACATAGAAAGGCCGATAGCGCAATCAGTGATCATTCATGTTTTCATAACCGCTGGCCAAATTCAAAAACGTCTCTCATCTTTGAGAGCAAGGGGGCCCCCTGGTGTTTCGGGGGCCCTTCGCAGCTTGCGTATTTTGCGTATTGGGATAATCGGCTCTGGTAATAATGGTCCGTGGGGAAACATGGTGTTCCGTGTGTAGTTACAGTAAATGGACTAAACGAAGCCTCGAGGCAGAAGATTTTTTGTGTTCGAGTTACTCAAGGTATTCGAGGAATCGTTTCAGTCCTAGTCTCCTCCATAGTCTGGAACCTTGTGACTAGTTAACTGGGTGACTAGTCGGCCACTTTTGCCCAATCTATACTCCCCATAATTAACAGCTGCAGAGATTCATTTAGTTGACAGGCCCTTCTAAATATAAATGCTTTATATTTTGTCTCTGCAGATGAAATTAATAGGCCATTACTCAGCCTTTTAAGATATCATCTGCAAACTTCTTAATGATCATTCTGAATAATTGTTCTTTTTAAAATGTCATCGCCTCCCTGACATCAGTGACACTGCTTTTGTGAGACTGTGCCTTGTTTGAATGCAAATCCCAATCTTTTAATTTCTCGTCTTTTGTGTAATGTGGCATTTCCCAGCGAGCCACATGAATGGCTGTGGCATTTTATGAGTGGGCGCTGGGTTGTACTCCCTCGGCATGCTCTTTCAGTAAATGCAAGGGCATAACTGGAAATGCATGTACCAGAGACGGAGAGCAAGACGTGTCGCTGTCCTCGTTTTCCTCGCCCGCCTGCTGCAGATGTTTGCTGAGAGATGAGGATGATATTAATAGCTGAGGGAGATGCTGTGAGGAGGTGGGGCGGCTCTCACTGTGTCTGGAGGAGCGCTGCCGCAGACACCTCAGACACTCATGCACAAGAAATAAGGTGTGGCGGGTGATGAGCTTTCTAGTCTCGCTTCCACACTGAAGAACAGTCATAACTACTAGAAAGCACGTTGTGTAGTTTCTCTTACAAAATCAATAATCAAGATAGGATATTAGAGAAATAATCTTGTTGTTAATCCTAGTTGTTTTTCTCAATCTTCTCATATAACCATTCAGAAATGCTTAAATACTCTCTCGCAATCTCGTCCCCACCCCTTTCCGGCTTCTTGCTCTTCTCTCCTCCTCTCTTTCATTTTCTCCACCTCCCTCACGAGGGATCACAGCCTGATGTGGGTGGGGTGGACAGCGTGTGGCCAGGCTGCTTTGATTTTGATGCATGTGACATGGAAGTGTGTCCGGGAGTATGTGTTTGATGTGTACTGATGCGCCTTCTCTTATTGAAGCAGTTATCGAAATGCTCCATGGAGGCAGCCTTTGATGCAGTTTAATACAATCTATAGCAGAATCCCAGCAGTCATGTTGAACCGGCTGTCCTCTCACAGCACCAGGCCTGGACATTACATGCATTATTGTTTGAGTGGCTATAGATCTAGGAATATGATATTGTATTTCAGTCAAGCACTGGAGTGGAGCACTTTGCACTTTGGTTTCACATGTATGATCAGTGTGCATAATTTTTTTTATTGCTTGTAACTATACTGTTATTAATTTGAAAAATTCATTTGGTTTGACTTCCTTAATATCATACATAGAGGATATGCATTGTCGGAAAAAGCTGCCCATCATTGTTGGAGGCACAAACTACTACATTGAGTCCATTTTATGGAAAGTGCTCATCGACACTGGGGTAAATGTGAATTTTAATGTTTTATGAGTATAAACAATTGCTCTTTAACAAAATCTAGTGAGCTGCCTACGTGGGCAGCATTTAGAAGTGACAATGAAATGAAAGTAGCGACAGATCTTTTCTTCTGTATTGTGACATACAAGTGAGACGCATTATCGATAAAGGATAAGTGTGGTAACTGTGTATTGGTTGATTGCATGGAGGCAGATATAGACTTGAACTTGCAGTCAATTGTAAAAAAGGATGGGATTTTAACGAACTGATTGGAGAAGTTCGACATACGTCACCAGAATACCACATTTTTATATATTTTGATTAAAAATTACATTCATCCATTGAATCATTCACAATAAGATCAATAACATTCATTTAAATAGAAATGGTAAATTTCTGTTTCATGCCATATGCGTGCCTTTATCAGGAAGCCTGTTTCATAAGGTAGGAATCCTAATTATTTTGCCTTTTAAGATAACGTAAGAGAGAAGACAATCCCAGAATGCATTTTTATGGTATTGATCAAAAAGTTTTGTGAGTACTCTTTATTAAAATATCATGCTGTTAGCTTAGCAACATGCTAATTGAAAACCATTGAAACCAATTGCAAGTCTTTGTGTGGCACACAGGGTTGCTGCCTATGTCAAGCTTTCTAAATCGGTCTCATGACATTCTGTGATGTTTTGAATGCTGCCTTAAAAGGCAGTTGGCAATGTGGCAGCTCACTACATTATGAAACGGCGCTAGTAAGTCTGAGTAATATTAAAAGGTTTTCTATGCATCTGTTGGCAGATCTATTCTAATCGAGTCCTCCTCTGTCTGACCTACAGCAAGGGAGTGACATGGAGTCAGAAAAGGGCGTGGCTTCTGAATCAAAGGCAGAGCTTGAGAAACTGGGTGGTCCTGAGCTTCACAGGCTGTTGAAGGAGGTGGATCCTGACATGGCAGCCATATTGCACCCTCATGATGGACGCAAGATTGCAAGGTAATTATTTAAGTGGTAGCAAACAAACATTGAGACAAAGCTTATTTACCAGTCACAGGAACAACTACAGTGTATTTCCATTGAGTAATTATTTCTACCTCTACCACAGATCAGCATGGCATAATTTAAAAGACTTTGCTAGAATTCAATGGCTCTAAAAATAGTATACGAAGTAGTCCAGTGTTAGAAAGTAATGCTGCAATAAATTCAGGGATTAAGTTCATTAAAATGGACAATTTGGGTCTTGGACCTGCAGGCCTGGGTCTTGGGATTAAGTCTGCATTTTGGATCTTGGTCTTAGGGGGCCTGGCTGTGGTTTTTGTCATGGAACATCTTGTCGTGACTCCAGCTCTGTATACATAAACATACCTATTTTCTAAATTTGTACCTATTCTGGGGCATTAAAATTCAAACTATCACGTTAAGTTCCTTAAATGCACAATGGTGATAGTTTATACCCTATTTACTGCGTCTTTACCATTTATTCTTCTTTCAGTGAATGCTTTTTTTTTATACTTATGTTGTTTTTTTCCCCCTCATGCATTGTTAGAAAAGGAGCGGAGCGGACTTGAACTTGGGTAGAAACCTTATCGTATTGTCTTGCTATGTTAAATTTTGGCATTTGTTGGGCATTTATTTTTGCATCTATTTTTTTCCACTTGTGTGGGAGAGCTGCTGATGGCTGAGGCTTCCGAGCGTGTTACACACGTGTTTTCACATGCCTCAATTGGTGTTTGATTGGTATCAAGGGGCCGATTAGCACCTCTTCTGAGCACTATGTGCTCGCTTAATTGATGCCAGCATGTGTGCCACTGCGTCTGCAGTGTTGCTGTGGTAGAAGAGCTCCTCTCCCACACTTCACAGTGCTGATGTCTCCTCCTGATATCAGCTCCTTTTGAGGAACTGGCAAGCTTGACGAAATCCCATGCACCTCTGCAACTTTATTGTTCATCCTTTGTTGGTTGTCAGTAGTTCATCATGTTCCTGTTTAGTATGTGGTGTGTTCTTTCCAAATAATATGTTTACTTGAGAGATTATTTGGCATGCAGAATCTTTCAAATGTATTTGAGAAATGCATTGCTAATTTAACTGCAGTTATATGGTATTTTGACTATAAGTTGATGGTCAGTTGATTGATTTACAGGAGTCTGCAGGTGTTTATGGACACTGGAGTTCCACACAGTCGGCTTTTGGAGGAGCAGCGAGGACAGGATGGAGGAGATTGTCTTGGGGGTCCCTTGCGGTTCCAGAACCCTTGCATCTTCTGGCTCCACTGCAAAACGAATGGTAGCTTTATTGTTGATTGGTACTTGAATGTGTCTGCAGTATCTTTTATTCAATTTCCTCATTCATCCTCTTCTGTAGCTCTAGATGAGAGGTTGGACAAGCGTGTGGATCAGATGTTGTCGCTTGGGCTGATTAATGAGCTCAAAGATTTTCACCAACGCTTTAATGAGAAGAAGATCAAAGAGAACAGGTAGATTTCACTGTTGTGAATCAGAAGATTTTTAGAAAAATTCACAGTGAATGATTTTTGGAACTGAACACTTAATTTCCTGACAACACATTAGGGCTGGGCGGTATATCGAGTTTGTACGATATATAGATATTTTCTTTATAAGCGATTCGATTTGAGGCAATACCGTTTATATCGATATACAGTAGTTTGATACGAGCGCATCCACCATGCACATGCGCGCCAAACAGACAGAATTCAATTAAACAGGAGCGCAATAATTCTGACTAAAATATACATTTCGCTGAAATATTTGTAGTTGGACCATAAATGTGATATGTAGAATTTTAAACCTACAAGTAAATCTATTTTTATGATAGCACTGACTGTAAAGTGACTGTAATGGATAAAAGCGTCTGCTAAATGACTAAATGTAAATGTGTAATGGTGTAATCAAAATAACCTAACACAACTGTGTTTTTGTTCTCATTTATTTTCATTTTTAGTTTAGTGAATTTAACTTCCGCTTTAAAAGCCTTATTTTTGTTTTTAGATTGCAAAAATGAAATGTGATTTTAACCCTTTCTTGCACATAATATAAAGGCTTACATGGTTACATTCACTTTATTTGTTTTCATAGCCTTTAATATGTATTGTTTTGTTGGACAACATTGGGCGGTAAGTGAAATATATATTAAATACTGATTTTTTTAATCCAAATACAAAAACGAAAATACCGAGAGATATATAACGTATATCGCAAATCGGCCAAAAAATACAGAGATATGAATTTTTGCCCATATAGCCCAGCCCTACAACACATAATATGCTAACTTGAATATTGTCCTGCATGCACTTCACAAAACAAAACAATGACACAAATGTACCATAACAAATAAGCAATTTAAAAATAGGCTGTCGTAATTTTTTTGTTGGCTGTATGCGTTCATCAGTATCTATAATAACTTCATTTTACTAGTAACTGGTAAAAAATATCAGTAACCAATCTGTTGTGCACCTCCATTTTTGAGATCCTCTGTTTAGTTTTGGAACTAGGTCAGATTTTTGTATTCATAATTCTTGTATTACCTCTGAATGAACCATGTGAAACTTATCTCACACAAGCTGCCTGATACAAAAGCTGCACAGCTGTCTTTTCTTTTCTTCAACTGTCAAAGAAATACATGAAAGCGAAGTTTCACCAGCTGAACCTGTCCTGCAGATCAGACCTTTTAAGTTGGCAAGTTCTAGCAAGTTTATCACCTGCTGTTCTTGTCAGGAGGGGGTTCTTGTCTTTAGTCATGGTGGGAATCCAGGGCTTTGACAAGTGAAACGTTTTCAGTAACTGACGTAGATGTCAGTTGATTTTGGCAAAGTGACTGAGCCGGTCGAATGACTCGGATGTGTTTTTTTAGTAATGTCAGAGTACATGGAGTTATGAGAGGTTGCATTAACACGTGTATGACTTTGAATTCACAGGAAATGTATTGGTCTGTACTTCTGCATAACATTCGATGTGGCTGTGACAGTGATTCAGGGCCTGTTATCTAATAAATTGATTTTTACGTTTCATTGAGTGTCCCGTATTTATGAAGACTATAACTATCTCAACGTGTATATATACTTCTATATGACATTAAAATGAACTGAAATGTAATGGATTTAAAGGGGTCATATGATGCTTTTTTAAAGATCGTTATTTTACGTTGGCAGCAGTTTGCCCGAATCGGCGTCGGGACTGTTGGTGCGAGTGAGAACTCTGATTGGATGTTCAGTTTAGTGAACGAGTCCGTGCAGGATAATTAAAGCGAAAGTGATGAAAACTAGTAAGTAAATGAAAGCAGTAAACAGAAGGCTGTTCTAATGTTACGTGATCTTACCCAAGCATTCCAATATGCAAATGTTTTCATAACGACATGAAATGCTTAAAATGCTGAAAGTTATCAATGTTACTGATGTTCAAAATGGTAAGCAAGTTAAGTTGCTTAAGTTTCGAATATTTCATTTTTATCTTATATCTTTGTTTCGGTTTCTCGTTTTGAATAACGAAAATATGCTATTGATAGCTGCTAATATAGACAGTTAATTCCTCTCACGCAGGCGTGAAATGCATGTATTAGTTTGCAGTCAGCTGTGGTCCGTGCGGTGTGTTCAAGTGCAGCTTTTTGGTCCAGACGCTGCCGTTGCGAGGTGACAACACTGTTGGTTTTCATCGCCGCTAGTTCTTTGAAGTTGGCTTGGTATGTCCTGGCCTTAACAATCACATGGAAACGCCCTGACAACCACTCATAAAAGCCTAGGAATGACATGGAAATGCCCATGCAACCACTCATAACACCCTAACAATCACATGGAAGTGCGTTGGCAACCCTTCTTAACAGCGTAGGAATCAAATAAAAATGCCCCAGCAACCACCCAAAACACCCTAGCAACCACATAGAATTGCCCCAGCATCCACCAACGACACAGTAGTTTAGTAGTGGTGAATTTTGCAAAGACATGCACCGTGCAGTGGCACAGTGCCTGTCAGTGCATTTGCCGATCAGGCTATAGATATATGACACAGCAGATCACGCTGTAATCTTTGGATCTTGGAACGATCAGAACATCAGCGATGCTGTGTCCTGTACTTTCGCCTGTATTTACTGATGCACTAACAATATTTGTTAGAAAAGGTGATTAATTATTGATTGATAGTGCTGTCACATGCTCTGTTGTACAGGGATATTGGCGGACGGACTGCACTGCGGTGTGTCTGTGTGTGTGGATGTTGATGACACAGCAGTGTCTGGGCCGTTTTGGGTGTGGCTTCTTCTGATTGATGGCCGAACGCCCGGCGCTCCGTCCAGCCGATCGCACCCCACCTCCCCTATCAGATGTCTTCATTGGCAAACTTGCCACCCAAGCGCTTTTCTCCTCTTTCCTCACGTCATCCCACTCTCTTCCTCCTCCTTTTCCTCTTCTTTTTGTCTGCATCTGCCACCCTTCCGCCAGCCCTCTCACCTTACACAGGGAGCAGTCACAAGGCAGCAAGGTCAGACTCTGCCTGTCTCTCCTTTCCATTCCCTCTCGGTCTATCTTGCTCTGTCTTGTCAATAGACCCCCTCCCCCTAGGCCCGTCTGTGTCCCTGTGACCGGCTGATCTCTGTTTTGTGAGCTGTATGACGACTCATTTTTACCCCAGGGGCTGGTGTTCTGATGCACCCAGTGACCGCGTTTCCATCTAAAACTGGGTCCCATTAAACATTGGATGTGATTTCACCCTCGAGTTTGCTCATAAGGCCTAATACTTATAATATTGCTATTTAAATTATTCTGTAACTAATCAATAACATAGATAAGAAAATGTTCAAAAAGAAATGGCTTTGTCGTTTAGTCACAGTTTAATTATGAGTAGCGTTAGGTATATTTGTATAATGAAATGCATTTGAAAAATGTTAGCTGTTATAGAAAAAGTACACAATCGGTCACTGAAAACATGGGAGCACTTTAAACTATTTAAAGAACTGAAGAAGTATGTAGTTTCATCTGAGCTGGTTGATGCTTTGACAGATTGCTTGTGCTCTCAGAATACTTTTCCCTGTGCATAAGTTTTATATGATATATATTTGCAGCTGTGAAGTGTTTCAAATTCAAGCTCTTGAGAGCTTTTCTATTTCACAAAAAAGCTTGTAAATGTGAGTTGCTGTTAAACTTAATAGACATAATTGACCGTCAATCAGACGGAGCACAACAGAGGGCAATTATTTGTTATACATCAGATTAAGTTCATATTTAAATGAATTTAATTGAATTGCGGTTTTTGCATGTTTTCACTTTTTTATTTTATTTATTTTGTACACACATTGTATAGCATCACATTTACACTAATGATCAAAGGTTTTGGGCCAGTAATTTATTTATTTATTTTTGTTAATACTTGTGCAGTAAGGATGTGTTAAATTGATCAAAAGTGACAGTAGTGATTTTTACATTGCAAGAGAAGATTTCGGTTTCAAATAAATGCTGTTTTTATTAAGCAGCACAGCTGTTTTCAAAATTGACACTAATAAGAAATGTTTCTCGAGAAGCAAATCAGCATATTATAATGATTTTTGAAGGATCATGTGACACTGAAGACTGGAGTAATAATGCTGAAAATTCAGCTCTGCCATCACAGGAATAAATTACACTTTAAAATATATTCAAATAGAAAATGGTTATTTTAATTGTAATAAAATTTCACAATATGACTGTTTTACTGTATTTTTGATCAAATAAATGCAGCCTTGATCAGCATAAGAGACTTCAATGGCTTTAAAAAAATAAAATACAATTTGGCTTCAAAATAATTCTTAAAGGGTTAGTTCACCCAAAAATTCACAATTTCACAATTTTTTATATAACTCCGACTGGATTCGTCTGAAAGAAGAAAGTCATATACACCTAGGATGCCTCGGGGGTGAGTAAAACGCAGCCTAATTTTCATTTTTGGGTGAACTAACCCTTTAAATGTGGCACTTTTGACTTTGACCAGTGTTATATTATCCTAGCAACCGCTTAGCAACACCCTGGTGAAAACCCTGAGCTTTCTAGCATTCAAAAATCTAGTATTGTTCTTCAATTTTGTGCATGAATAATGGTAATTTGGTGTACATAAGGAATTTAGTTTTCTCCGTGTTTGCAGTCAGGACTATCAGCATGGCATATTCCAGTCTATTGGCTTTAAAGAGTTTCACGAGTACCTGACAGCAAGTGAGAACGTCAGTCAGGAAGAACGTGATAAACTGAAGATTAAAGGTAAGCATTAATTCACCTCATTTTGCTTGAGCTTGATTGTCTTGAGTCTTTTGTTGTTAAACTATAAACAGCTGTCAGTTCAGGCCTTGAGAATGAACACCGAGTGAGAATGTTGACGTTCTTGAAATTTTTCTGCATGAGAACAGTTATGAAACCTTTGCTGACTTCACACAAAAGAGAGCAAACACTAACTCAGACCCTAATTCTGAAAGCATTTTTATGCTCTTCCAGGAAGATTTGTTTTTAGTTCTTAAATGGACTCAACACATTTGAAACAAAAACAGTTCCAGCAGGGATTAAAATTATCATTACATTATCATTGTAATACAAAAATATCACTACCACCATCAGACACGTTTATTGTAGGGCTGTCGCGATTCGTCGATTCTATTCGATTTTAAAAAATCCTCGACTTCATTTTGCCTGCGTCGACTAACCGGCAAAATACCGGAAGTGGCCCATTTCACGGACGAGAATCCATAAAACACATTATTAGATTGTTTTCCAAGGCTGCATGATATATTAACCCCGTTTAAAAATCATAATTAAGCATAAATGTGAATTCACAAACGCTACGATTTAATTACATAATTATATGCAATGCCGTTATAGCTGTGTAGGTTACGTACGTGCATTTCACAGCAGCTCCGTTCACAGTAAATGTCAGCATATTATAATGATTTTTGAAGGATCATGTGACACTGAAGACTGGAGTAATAATGCTGAAAATTCAGCTCTGCCATCACAGGAATAAATTACACTTTAAAATATATTCAAATAGAAAATGGTTATTTTAATTGTAATAAAATTTCACAATATGACTGTTTTACTGTATTTTTGATCAAATAAATGCAGCCTTGATCAGCATAAGAGACTTCAATGGCTTTAAAAAAATAAAATACAATTTGGCTTCAAAATAATTCTTAAAGGGGTAGTTCACCCAAAAATTCACAATTTCACAATTTTTTATATAACTCCGACTGGATTCGTCTGAAAGAAGAAAGTCATATACACCTAGGATGCCTCGGGGGTGAGTAAAACGCAGCCTAATTTTCATTTTTGGGTGAACTAACCCTTTAAATGTGGCACTTTTGACTTTGACCAGTGTTATATTATCCTAGCAACCGCTTAGCAACACCCTGGTGAAAACCCTGAGCTTTCTAGCATTCAAAAATCTCCTAGGTGTATATGACTTTCTTCTTTCAGACGAATCCAGTCGGAGTTATATAAAAAATTGTCTTTGATCTTTCAAGCTGTTTAATGCCACTCAGCGGGTGTTGCGTTGCTTCAGTCCAAAATAACTTAAATAAAAATCGCCCATCCATAAAAAAAAAGTGTCTCTCACGGCTCCGGGGGGGGAACAAAGGCCTTCTGTAGCGAATCGATGTGTTTTTGTAAGAAAAATATCCATATTCAAAACGTAATAATCACTTGAATCTAGCTTGCGCTCACTGTTGTAAACAGAAGCAGTTCCGGGGGAATGACGTATGAGGTCAACGTTGCGTGTGCGTCACTTCTGAGCGGCGCATGCGCAGCGCTGCCCTCATACATCATTCCCCCGGAACTGCTTCTGTTTACAACACTGAGTGCAAGCTAGATTCAAGTGATTATTACGTTTTGAATATGGATATTTTTCTTACAAAAACGCATCGATTCGCTACAGAAGGCCTTTGTTCACCCCCCAGAGCCATGTGAGACACTTTTATTTTTTTATTTAAATTCTTTTATACTGAAGCAATGCAACACCCGCTGAGTGGCATTAAACAGCTTGAAAGATCAAAGACAATTTTTAAGAGACTTCAATGGCTTTAAAAAAATAAAATACAATTTGGCTTCAAAATAATTCTTAAAGGGTTAGTTCACCCAAAAATTCACAATTTCACAATTTTTTATATAACTCCGACTGGATTCGTCTGAAAGAAGAAAGTCATATACACCTAGGATGCCTCGGGGGTGAGTAAAACGCAGCCTAATTTTCATTTTTGGGTGAACTAACCCTTTAAATGTGGCACTTTTGACTTTGACCAGTGTTATATTATCCTAGCAACCGCTTAGCAACACCCTGGTGAAAACCCTGAGCTTTCTAGCATTCAAAAATCTAGTATTGTTCTTCAATTTTGTGCATGAATAATGGTAATTTGGTGTACATAAGGAATTTAGTTTTCTCCGTGTTTGCAGTCAGGACTATCAGCATGGCATATTCCAGTCTATTGGCTTTAAAGAGTTTCACGAGTACCTGACAGCAAGTGAGAACGTCAGTCAGGAAGAACGTGATAAACTGAAGATTAAAGGTAAGCATTAATTCACCTCATTTTGCTTGAGCTTGATTGTCTTGAGTCTTTTGTTGTTAAACTATAAACAGCTGTCAGTTCAGGCCTTGAGAATGAACACCGAGTGAGAATGTTGACGTTCTTGAAATTTTTCTGCATGAGAACAGTTATGAAACCTTTGCTGACTTCACACAAAAGAGAGCAAACACTAACTCAGACCCTAATTCTGAAAGCATTTTTATGCTCTTCCAGGAAGATTTGTTTTTAGTTCTTAAATGGACTCAACACATTTGAAACAAAAACAGTTCCAGCAGGGATTAAAATTATCATTACATTATCATTGTAATACAAAAATATCACTACCACCATCAGACACGTTTATTGTAGGGCTGTCGCGATTCGTCGATTCTATTCGATTTTAAAAAATCCTCGACTTCATTTTGCCTGCGTCGACTAACCGGCAAAATACCGGAAGTGGCCCATTTCACGGACGAGAATCCATAAAACACATTATTAGATTGTTTTCCAAGGCTGCATGATATATTAACCCCGTTTAAAAATCATAATTAAGCATAAATGTGAATTCACAAACGCTACGATTTAATTACATAATTATATGCAATGCCGTTATAGCTGTGTAGGTTACGTACGTGCATTTCACAGCAGCTCCGTTCACAGTAAATGCTGTTCCACAGGAACTGATATCATTTACATGTGTGGAGCCGCTCAAACTCCATCCGTGCATGTTGTTGTGAGTTTGGGTTTATTATAACGTTCATCTAGGAATGCAACGTGCGCCATTTCATATAGATCGCACAGTAATGTGTAAAAACAATCGTCAGGCCGTTGGCGCCCCCTACAGGCCTTTGTTTTAATGCGTACTGTACATTAGCTCTATTCACTGATCTATAATAAAGATTATATTATATTATTTTTTAATTATAAATAGATCAGTGGCTCGATTACATTATAATACAGTATTTTAACAGTTTTGTTCAATAAAACCATATGATTTCTTGCTTTTGATACTTTATTTGAACTAATTATTATTTCCTCATTGTTATTATATATGTATTTTAAGTAATTTTAAAGGCTATTGTTCACTTAGCCTACATCTATTTTTATTACCACAAAAACTAATTATTAATTATAATATTTTATTATTAGTAGACCAGAACACGTGAACATGTTGTTATTCTTACACTGTAATATTGAACTTTGAATTCAGTGATTTGGACTATGAGATGGACACTTGCTTCTTGCACTCTCTGTTGCACTTTACTTTTGCTTTAAAAAAAGGATTTCATTTGGAGTTTCACTACTGAAGTCCTCCATTTTTTTCATCATGCTGGAGATGTTTGTTTAAATCTGTTGTTTACACATTTCTAAGAGTACTTTTAATACTTAAAATTTTTAATAATAATAACTTTTAATAATAAATTTTTAATACTTGGTTCTAGTGGACTCTAAACATTGCATTTATTTAATGTGAAAACCCAACTGTTGGGGTTAATTTAAACAGATTTTTTTTCCCTTTGTAGTTGCACTCACAGCTGTAGTGAACAGAAGCCCAGAACATGTGGATATATTGACATTAAGAACATGCTGATTTTCTCAGACTTTTGTAATTTTCTTTTTATTTCATTTTTATTAGGTTTGTTTACATTTTTACATTTCGTCAATGGCTTGTTTACATTTACACTTTTTTTATGGTACACCACTGAATGGCAAAGTTGTAGTTTTTGTGTGTGTGGGAAATTAATCGTTTAGATTAATCGATAAATTAGTCGATAGATTAATCGAAATAAAAATAGTCGTTAGTGGCAGCCCTAGTTTATTGTACGTGTCCATTATTAATAGCTGGTGATTAATTCTCATTACAGTAATGATTACTTATGATTATGCCAACATGTTTGATGCATGTGTAAACAAACGTATTAAAATAGTACAGAGGGGACACAAAGTCTTTGACTTATCTTCATTTTGGAGCATTTTCTTTAAATACCAATATGTGAATTATTTGATTAACCAGCATAACTAATTTACGTAAAACTGGTAATAGATTGACAGTCCTGTAATTTAGCAAACAGGGGTTGTCTTCTGATTTTCAGTAGGGGATTGATCGCTGCAGTGGTGTTGAACTCTGATCAGATGTCTAAAACATTCAGTGTTTAAGACAGAACGTTCTCAGTCTCTGTTAACAGCTGCTGAGGGGCTGTAGAGAGGGAGACGTCTCTCTCTCTCTCTCTTTCTGTCAGTCAGTTGGATTGGTGTCAAGATCAATTACCGGCATGCTAAGCATGAAAGTTGCAGCACTCATAATGGTGCTCATGTCTGCTGAGAGCTCATAAGTGCGGATTGCTTGTGTTGAGTGCTCTGAGCATTACTGACTTGTCAATAGGCCATGAAGCCAACAATGCTGCTCTTGGATTGGTTAGTTTGCTCTAATGTTTATATGATGGATTGTGAATTGTATTAATGTTTTGTATGGATGCCGCTGTCTGTGAGCCCAGACACCAGTATTTTAAGAGTTTAGATTCAAGATAAACCCCTGTCTGGCCAAATAAGATTTCAGTGTGGAGATAAAGGTTAGAATTATGATTATTTGATAGTACTACAGTACACAGTTAGTGTATATTAGCACTGTTTGTTGTTTGCTTTGGGATCTGATAGAGCATTTGGACCTGCATCTGGATTCTGTTAAAAAAAAAAAAAATGAATGGTTTTCACAAAAATATTAAGCAGCAACTGTTTTCAACATTGACAATAAAAAGAAATGTTTCTTGAGAAGCAAATCAGCATATGTGACCATGGACCACAAAACCAGTCGTAAGGGTCAATAAAAAAAAAAAAGAGAGATTTATGCATAAATAATCAAAATATTGAGAAAATCTCCTCTAAAGTTGTCCAAATGAAGTTCTTAGCAATGCATATTACTAATCAAAAATTAAGTTTTGATATTTCCGGTAGTAGGAAAATTTACAAAATATCTTCATGGAACATGATCTTTACTTGATATCCTAATGATTTTTGGCATAAAAGAAAAATCAATCATTTTGACCCATACAATATATTTTTGACTATTGCTAGAAAAATATACCCATGCTAATTAAGACTGGTTTTGTGGTCCAGGGTCACATATTATAATGATTTCTGAAGGATTATCTGAAACTGAAGACTGGAGTAATGGTTCTGAAATGTCAGCTTTGTCATCACAGGAATAAATGACATTTTACGATATTTTAAAATAGAAAATTATTAATGAAGTCTGCATTTTTTTCTGTGCCTCAAACTGAAGGGGTGGCGCTCTGTTCTGTTGTCTACTGCACATACTTCAAACACACGAGGGGCTCGTGATGCAATAATTTCAGCTTTTGGTGCCACAGTTTACTGTAAAATTGAACATAGCATGATGACACATAGTTGTGTAGACAGAGGAGGTGGATATTTAATTTGGAATGAGGAGCTCAATAAGAAAATTGTACACAAAAGTGCAGATGTCTGTCAAAATAAAAGCTTTAGGGTTTATCTGGACCACCTAGCAATGCTGTTTTTAAAAGAAATTAATACAAATGTATTAATATTGCATGATAATACTAACTTTTGCACTAGCAGTGCAAGATGTTAAAAGGATAGTTCACACACAAAAAAGGGATCATTTACTCACCCTCATGTCGATTCAACCAAATCTTTCATGCATCAAAAAGTACAAAAAGCTCAAAAGTATCTGAAGCTCAAATGTGCTCAATGTATGTGCGTTGATCATGTTTATATGTGAATAAATAAATCTGTTCATCAAATAAAGCAAATTGTGTCTCTTCAGAAGACAGGAATTAAACCACTTGATTCAAATTGATTATTTTTACAAGGTCTTTTTTGTCGTTTTTGATGCATGAAAGTTTTGTTGGCGTGGACTTTCAAAGTACAAAAATGATGAGAGAATATTGAGTGAATAATTTTGGTTGAAGTGTCCTGTTAAATGTAACAGTTTAAATCCCAATATTTGTTGAAAATCATAAAATTGTGTAGTCTTTGTACACAGACGCAGTCCAATGTGCTCTGGCACCAGTGGTAAGAGGATATACTGAAGGGGAAGTGGATTGAGAGAGGGGGCGGCTGAGGGTTTTAATGGAACTGCCTCTTCCTCTTCCCCTCGTCCTCTAGGTTTTGCTATTAAGCACTTAAAATTGTGTCAGTAAACCCATCGTGCATGACTTCTTTTTACTTGATATCTCCCACAAACATCTCACATAGTATCTGGTGTCACCATCATATATTGATCTCGTTATTTCCTCCTCTCACAGGGATCGAGTCTCTCAAGCAGGTGACCCGCCGCTACGCCCGAAAACAGAACAAATGGGTCCGCAACCGATTCCTCAAGAGTAAGTCTCACTGATTACACACACTTTTCTTAGTTTGGGTGCTGGTGTGGTGTAGTGGTCAAGTTCAGAAGGCGGCTTATTTGATCCCCAAATGGTACCAAACTGCAGGTTATTCCAGCCATAATATCCCTGGAATAAATTCATGCATGAAACCTTTAATGTGAGTCCCCCTTCCCTTTCCATCCTGTTGCTTGTGTTTGAGAGTTTAATGGTCTGTGAGGTACGGTCTCTGCTGCTGGATGCTAAGTAACACCACAGCTGTGCTAGTTCAGAGTGCATCGTAGCCACTGGCTTTAATTTGGATCACACTTACTCTCAAGGGAATTGTAGCCACAGTTAACTCTTTTCAATTCTGAATTCATTGGTGTGCATTATATGTTGGCTTCACTCATGGCTTGTCTATTGTATATTGGCTTCAGTTGCCCTCAGAGGTTACTGGAGCTGTGTATGTGTGCATATTTTTCGTTTTCTTTCAGTACGGTCCAATGATCAGGTAATCACAGCCATTTTTTAACGAGATGGACTTCACACAGACCATTAAACACACAAACGTTTGTGTAGAAATACTATGTGTGTGTTTGAAGGCTACCCCTCCCTTACAGACAGCCTCAAAATTCCAAGGCTCAGGGTTCAGTATTTACCAGCCTTGCGTTGATAAAAGATCAAATGCTTGTAAAGTTTGGGTGTTTCAAGACACGGGTCAGTCTGAATGGTTTGTACTTTTACTTCCTAACAGACAACAGCCTGAATCAGCGAACCCTTCAATGGATTAACAGCTGTGTGTATATGTGTGTGCTGGTGACGTCAGGGTGTGAAGTTTATCTAGAGAGAGGAAGTGAAGGACGCTTTATAGAATGAAGAATGTACGAGTGAAGCACTATTAGTTGTTCGCATAATAAAAGCTGTAAAGTTAAAAGGAGGGTGTGTATGCATGTGGCACAGGGGACGCTCACATAGGTTGTGTCTTGGTGTATGCAGAAACAGCTAGGGTTAGGGTCCCAAGGGTGGGTTGTTTAAAGATAAACTAATTTTAACTATGCTCATAGAGAGAGATGCTGAAAAAACATTATAACGTGGCACAGTGGTCTGTCTGATGCATATGTACATAGATGAAAAATGTAAAAAATAACACCGAAAGAGTGCAATAGTTCATTCTGTGTATAAAAGCTTTAAAGGGGTCCTATTATGCTCTTTTACAATGTCTTGAACAAGTTTGTTAAAATTTCCAAAGGGTGCCGCGACTAAAAAAAGGTTGGGAAACACTGTACTAGAACATGCTCTCATGCTTGGTGGTTTTCGAAAAACGCATTATTGTTTTACATAATTTACATTATTACAATACCTTTCTCCCCAGTCTGGCACAAACGGCTCGATTAGTTCCAGGTTCGATGAACGCCCGCCTTCCGAAAAACTTGGTTAGCTATCCCAGTGCGTTGTGATTGGCGAACAGCTTAGACGGTGTTTCAGTACTGCCCTTGCCAAAGCAGCAAGTTTAGTTAAGGATGGCGTCAATATTGCCATATCAATTTGAGCCAGATTCAGACCCAGAGAATATTGAACAAGAGGATCGCGCAGAACCTTTGCACGTACGGATATTGCAAGACATAGAGTGGTTATTGTTATTTTTGTTTTTTTTTGGCTAAATCACGTTTTAGATAGGATGTCAACAACCGCTTAAAAATAACTGCATTTACTATGTACAGATAAGTGCATATGTATTATTTTTATTGTTATTGAATTCTAACATTCTAACATGAATTGCAATGAAACTGTTATACAGTTGAATTTATTTGTACCATAGTCCAGTGTTTCCCAGGCGGGCGGCATATATATGCAAACTCATTCTCTGCCAGCAGGAGGTGCTGTTGGAGCGGTAGAGATCAAGGTTTCTCCGGTAAGGCTGTACACAAAGCAGTGCTCCGCTCAAAAAAACACTGCTTTATCAGACATTACATGCAAGATTAAATGAAAATGTAAATCCAAGGGGTTTACAAAATGAAAGAAAAGAAAGAAAATGTTTCTTTCAGAAATACAGTGATATAAAAACACCCGCACTCAATGTATGGGAAACACTGAAGTCTCATAATTGAAGAGTAAATTCTGCAGATCACATCATTGTCCAGTATTGTACTGTCAGCAATTTATTATAAAAACGTTTTCATAATTGTAACATACAT